ATATATATATATATATATATATATATATAAATCAAATATCACGAAAACTAAAATCAGATCTTTTTTATTAGACTAGATAATTAACCTATCGTAAATGTTGGTGATGATTATCGCGATGAATTATAAAATTTTTAATTATCAAATTAAAACTAGCAAGTAAGATTCCAAATTGGGAGTTTGTGAAAATTTGTTAAAACAATGTACTACTAGGAATATTTTATTATTAACAGCAATTAACAAACAACTAATATGATTAGAATATAATTTTCTTCTTTGTTATTATCAAATACAATGCATGAAAAGCATGCCGTATGTCAATTATTGTCATGGAATAAGTCTTTAATTTACATTTCTTAATCATTACTAGGGTCTAGGCCTAGCATAAAAATAATAAAAAAAAGCATACTCAATATAATTTAATAAATTGAATCGAAAGAAATATAATGTACTTAATATGCAGATTATATTTTTATTTTAGAAGATAGAGAAGTTATTTTCGATAAAAATTTTAACTCGAAAAAAAGCAAAACAAACTAGTTGAAAAAGAAAAAACAAAAGTGAAAAAGTCTTTGATATTATAATATATAAATCATGATAAAGCAATATGAAAAAAGGAACAAAAATGTACCATAAAATAATGCAGTAATCGAAGTATAGAAAACAACATATTATAACGAGAACTCAAAGGACAAGAAATTACATAAATAATATTATGATTAGTAGTATATACATCAAAGGATATAAGCTTGACAAATTAACTTATTATCTTTGTATCCTTCATAATATTTTATCTAAGGTCATGCCCTCTATAAGGAGAAATTGTGTCATGTCACTCCTCAATACTTATTTGATCTATCTCTAATCTTTACTCTTCTAAAATCAGTCATAGTCAACCTCGCACAACTCCGCACTAGAGCATTAGTGCATCTCCGATTCTCATCACATGTCCGAATCATATATCTCATTTTTATTTCCCTCATCTTCTCCTCCAGCAAGGTCACTCCCATCCTACGACCTTGTTTCGGATATCTTCATTTCTAATCACTCTATGTGCACTCACACATCCATTTCAATACATCTTTATTTCCGCAATATTCATTTTTTACTATATAAAATTATCTAGTAAAATCTCTTTTGTTTGTGACCAAAAAAAATCACTTACCTAAGCCAAAAACACTCAAAAGGTCATTCAATAGACCAAATACCTATTTTACCCTTTATATTTTTAATCTTTATCGCAAAACATCGACAAATTATGTTAAAATTTGTAACAATATTGAATTTAAATCACTCATAAAAATTAAACTTTAAACTATACTTATATTTTTACACGTTTCTCTAAATAAAAATAACAAAGGAGCCCATAATATTTATATACTACACGTGAGATAAATAATGCCACTAATAAAACGTGTATATTTGACTAAAAACTTTTAAAGAAGTTAAAATTAATTAAGTAGGTTCACCTTCCATATTAATTTATTTTGACTTGATATTTCTTTTTATATTGGCTGTACTCTAGGCTAAATATCATGTACCAAAAAGCAGACAAACATGAAATAATTTTTTAAAATAAATGACATTCACGTGAAGAGGACAGGTACATATAAATTATCATTCACATGATTCACAATGATTTTCTATAATTTTTTGTTGTTTTTCAAAATTTTATTCTAAAGTATTCATGTGAATTATTAAACCAAGGTAAATCTGTGATAATTATTCACATGTAGCATTGTAAAAAGAAGTGAAGCATGTGATAGGAGTAACTTTATGGAAATCAAATTTATACATTGTGAATAGAGAAAAAAAATTATTTCTATCAAGTATTTACATCAAAATTTATTATTATGATAATTTAATAAAATAAAATATATATTAATTAATTAAAATTGAGAAAAATTAACTGTAAATTTAAACATATGATGTTTATATATTGTATTGGTATAATAAAATTCATATTTAATAATATAGTTTTGAGGAGTTTTAGTAACCTTATTCCCATTTGTTTCAAAATATTTATCACGTTTTTTTTCTTTTTTTTGTTCAAATCTAAAGTATATACTAAACTTTACCACGTGATAGAGACTAACTTTTTCTCCCTTTTATGTAGTCCCTGATTTAGTCCAACTGTAAAAACACTTCGAATCGAATTTAGAATTTTACATATTTATTCATTTATTTATTGGTTTAATGTGCCGTTTTTATTTTATTAGGTGTCCGATATTTAATTTAAAATTTGACTAATCATAATTTATATTGAGTAATTTACTTTTGAAAGTTCAACATTTTTTAAAGATCTACATAATAATCTTTATGTTTCTTAGGTATAAATAAAATTTGTGTACACTAAATTCTTTTTAAATATACTTTGTAAATTACGGTGCATATATCGTTTTCTTATTGTTGTTATTGAGTTGAGCACTCATCAAAAGTTATTTCGCTAGTAAATATTATTTTTAATCAGGC